GCGTAAGATAGAGAAAGCCCAGAAGGTTGTTCAGAGTCTAGCAATATGTTGGTGCAGACAATGGTAGCTGCTAGAGTGCATGTTCACTATGGAGAGTGTGTTGAGACAGGCTGGGAGAAATTACTGATAATGTTACTAAAGTCCTGAGCAAGGGAACAATTTGGCAACTACATAGATATAACTGTTGAAGACAAAAGCCTGGGCCCTCCCTGGTGGTACAGGGGCTAAAGATGCAGCACTGTGAATCTGTGTCAGCCACTGCTGCATGAGTTTGATCCCCTGCAACGGATCTGGCCCCCTTGGTGCAGCAGACCTCTCCTGTCTTGCTGCTCCCCTCAGCAGTGTATTTCAGCCGATCTGCCTCTTCTGTCCCCGCTCTGTCTTTGGTGAATCCTCTCACCCCCCTGTATCTCTGACCTACACCCCAGTTCTTGTCTGCACAAAGAAGGTGATCTGTAGGTTTTTTTTCTTTCCTTGTCTTTTTAAGTCACCATATTGGACCAGAAATACTTGAAACCAGATTTAAATCTACCAGGTACGTCCTTATACACATTGTATGCAAGCAGAATGCATAAGAGTGGCCTTTCTGAATTGTAATATGCAACAATGAAACAGAGTGAGATTGAAAGTGACATGTAGAAGCACATAGACTACACAGTAATTCATTAATCTCTTTTATTTTTCACTCCACACAGTCAAATACCAGCCCACAGCAACACAGAAATGAATAAGCAATCCTTTCATTTTTACTGCTTTAGTATTCATGTATAATTTTCAGTGGAGCAAATTATTAATAAACTATAGTGACATGAGGTGAAATATGTTTCAAATATAGTAGGCAACTTCAAAACAAATGCAGTGTTACATGTGTGAAATAATGGAGTCAAAAACACAGTGAATTTTTTTTCCATTTTAATTAAGCACAGTAAAATGCAGCATCTCAAGGAAGGGGTATTTGGGCACCTCTCAGCCAATGTCATAAGACTAGGAAAGCAGTTTTGCTATTCCCGAATAAATAATTCATTTTTATTGATTAGTGAAATTCACTTTAGGGATGAATATGGAGCAGAAATGTACAGTGGTACTCTTGGTAGTTTATTGAAAGTTGAACCCTAAAAGCACAGTGAGACCTGCACTCAGCCCCACTCTTGTTCTGCACAGAAGGATGAGTTGTACAAACCAAATGGTGTGAAACACCTCAAATGTCATGAAGCCTGACCTCTCAAGATACTGCTGCAATCAATATGACTATTATTGATTGCTTACTCTGTTTCATCCCAGACTTAGTTGAAATCTTCCTTCATTTTGAATTATGATGTGTATATTACCTCCAGAAATGTCACTAAATGTAAGCTGTCAAAGGTTTTGCTTGTAAAAATGCATAAAGTAAGTTGTTCTCCCCCCCCCCCCAGTTAGTATGGAACTAAAAGCATAATCCAAAAGAAAAAAAAAAACAGGGGTATTTGGAAGCTTTCATTGGAAGTTTTAATTCATATTTAATCACCTACTTTGCCCAAGAAAATTTGTTTAAAGTCCCAACTGTTAGGTACTAAATTGGGCATAACATATGTCTATGTCAGTTTTTCAGGGACTTGTTAGTCATAGATATGGAGGAGAAACTGTTACACTGTCACTTAGGTTCAGTGGAATTGTCTTTAGAGGGATCATATCACAAAAGAAAAATGTTGAAAACCAACAGGAAGTATAGCTTTGCCCTGAAAGATAAGTTCTGCAATTATCTTTCTATTCCCATACACACATTTATGACCTCAATAAAGGATGAAACCCTTTTTGCTATAGTTTGGGCTAGTTTGGAATACAAGAAAACATTGTTATATTTTAATAACAGTTGCCCATAACTCACATGGGGTCTATAACTGAAAAGTTAGGAAATTCATCGTCCTGCCTTAGGACTTTCGGCCAGCCACTAAAGACAAGTGTCCCAAAGGTTCCCTTAGAGGTCTTCATCAGATGATTGTTTCATCGTCAGAAAGCCAAGAACTTTTCCTAGCTCTGTCTGTAAAAGTGAACTGCCTCTGCGACTTCCTTCCATATTCCTTCCCCTACCTCTGACACTTTCTTTCCCATCTCTTTTATGCTATTCTGTATTTACTTCTCTTTCCCCTCTAGTTGATCAAACTTGTGTTGAAAGTCAGTCCTTGAATTCTCTTCTCCTAAAACAATGGGGACTATTTAAGATGGCCTCAGCCAGTCTGCAATCAGTGACACTGGCCAACTTCCATAAGAAAGACATAGCCTAAAGATAGACGTGTGGTATGGGTGTAGTTCTCCTTGGAAATCATTTTATAATTCTGTTCTTTGTTAAAGTACTCATGAATAATCCTGTGTACTGCAGTGGGAGGAAGTTTCAAAAAAAAGAAGATAATGTTGTAAACCTTTCTTGTGCCGTAAGTAAAAATATTTGTTATTCGAGTTAGTTGTACCCACCCCCCCAAAAAAAAGGCCCAAACTGTATGTAGTATATTAATTATGTCTTTTGCAGCTCTGGGATAATGGTGCAGCATTGACAATGACCTTGGTTACAGGTGGTATTAATAACACTTGCATTGTCTTTGTTAATCAGTCCAAAAGGTGGTGAAGACAGCTTATTAAGTATTTTTTATGTAGACACTTTTGTCATCAGGCCTGGCTTCTTTATTTGATAGTAACATGTGGAAAAGTAATGTTATTAGGGTATAAGAAGAGAACTATAGGATTGCTGTAGGGTTTTCAACTGAAGAAATGGTTTTTCTTAGTACATGGGATGTTAAGAAAAGTGATATAGAAATACCAGTTTTTCATGTTGTAATCATTGTCCTAGTTTACGTGATATCAATATTAAAGTAATATATGTGTTACTGTTTTTTAAGTGGAAGCCCTTATACTTTCTGCTGCGCTAAGTGAAACCGGACTGTTTGTAATTTCCCAAATGAAAACAAAATGGTGATTTGATTCCTAAACATGCAATAAGCCAAACTTCCTGGCAAAAGACAGGCTGATAAAAGTGCATATTTTAGTCAATTTGATATGCTGGTGTTTGCTGTGCTGACCTAGAGCAATCCTTAGAACATTATGAAAATAGGCTGGCAATTCTGCAATGAGTTCACCAGAGAATGGTAAATACCACCAGGAAAAGTCTCAGATGCCATTCTATTCATTCTGCTACTCTATAGAAATCTGTATCCATGGGAACCACAATCCTGCATGCATTTGTATATTTGACAGCAAAGAATCTCTTACGGAATGGGGGGGGAAGTGTCAAAATGCTGTGCTTCTGGGAAGTAAAACATAGTCATAATTTGAGCTAAAATACTATAGAATATATGGACTTACAGGTAGATGTCTGAGATGAGAGATGGGGCATATTTGTACTTCACAGAATGAGAAAGAAGGACATAGAATGGGGCTAAGTGAGTGGGGAGCAGATCTGATAGCATCTTTCTGGCAGACACCCTGGACATTGCATAGGAGAAGGACAGTGCAGGCCAGGGATCTGTGAAATGAGATTACCTTAAGAGTGAAGATACAGGAAGCTGTTGAGAATAACATCTCTGTTGTTGGGCATTTCTGTTTTTAGTCACTCATTATTTAATGTGAGGAGCACTAGTTATTGGGTTTTAGTGTACTCATAATTGTAATCTTTTGTATGAGAATGTTTAGTAGATCATGTGTTAGATATTTTGTAAGTTATTGTTTTGATTCCAGTATCATGTTTGAAAGTGATACTAGAGGCTAAATAGGACTGACCTTGAAGATGCTGCCAACCTTCTCCTTAACAAGGGTTGTTTTAGTTGTTAATGTAAATGGACATAAATTGATTTCATGAAGAGGAAGGGGGATGTTATTAGCAGGATGAAGCAAATACATCATCAGAGGAAACGTAATGTCAGAGTTGTGATTACAAAGGTGTCCAGGTAGACCCCCAAGCTATCCCTTTCATTCATAAAAGTGTGCCATTCCCTTACATCAAATTTGAAATATATCAACTACATTCACAGTAATGATTAAATTCATGTAATGTAATGTTTAATGCCAACATTTGTAGACTTTTCTGCTCATTGTTAGCGGGTATGCATACACCATTACTTGCACTTAGCAGAGCAACTGACACTTCTGATGTTTAAAAGTGAGCATCACTATCCTGTCAGTGAAATACAAAATGTAACAAATGAATGGAATTACAATAGAGAATGTCAATTCCAGATAAGGTTCTCCGGGTTCTGGTGACTCTCCCATTGAATGGCAAGACTCGAGTTATCCTTTCTAGAGAAATGTATTTTTAAAATGTCATCTGAATCTGCAAAGATGTTTGTTAAACATTGTAATTCAACTGTTAATCAAGTTAATGTTTGCTGTTAACTTTTGTTGTGTAAGAGAACTCATATGATGAACAGTTTGTATAGAAGTAAATCTTGAAATCCTGCTCATAATAGAGATTCACATAGGTGGACAGATGTCTTTCTGGGCTATATGCATCTTGTTTTCATTGTACCTTTGATTACTAAGCAGACTTTACTCCTGGGATATCATCCAAGTTACATTTTTGTAGACTTCAATTGTAGTTGTTTTCTTTGTGGCAAACTGGAAATATACCCACTCTGAAGAAAAGGGCTTGATTACATCTCATTTAGGGGAAAGTTTTTTTTTTTTTTTGGGGGGGGTATGTATAATATAGGGATTATTTAAGAACTATAATTTAAACTTATGCCTATTCTCTTGGCATGTAATGTTGCAATCCAAATTCCTACCCGGGGAAAGCTTATAGGATCAAATGGACTTTGATGTTCTAAATGAGCATATTGTGGTTATAGGCCACGTGGGTTTAAAGTAATAAATATTTTTGGTTTCGTTTTTGCATTGGTGCATGTGTGTGTGTTTTCCTAACTAAATTATGAAGTCACACTTTTACAAGAAGAGATCACTCATATCAATATTGTAATGCAAAATGAAGAAGAGTAATTATAACCGAAAGTATAGCAGATGAATCTGAGTCAGTTAATTTTCCTGAAATGAGCATTGCAGGCATGAATATAAAATATTCTGTGTTGGAAATGGCTGCAGGACACCAGAAACATGCATTCATTCAGCAAGCACCTACTGGTTACTTATTAGTTGCTGGTCATTTGGCAATCACAATGCTGTGATCCTAAATACATATTGTTCATATGAATAAAGTTTGCTAATATTTCCTGTTACTTGTGAGTGAAACTACAAAAGTTAGTGATCTTACAAAGTAATTAAATGCAGAAATCAAGCAGTGTGTTTAGCCAAGACTTTGTAATACAGGCAGTAGAATAGACTATTGGTGTCAGTAAACATGTCTTCCTCTAAATTCACTCATGACTTGCACAGGGTGAATTTTTTTCTTTGCTGAGCCTCGTCTGATAGCTGCACACTTTTCCTCTGGCTTCTCTCTCTTAATCAAGGGCTTTTTTGCAGGAGCTTTCATTCGCCACATCACAACTGGATGCCGGGGCCCAGTGGGACTCTGAATTCGGATGATCTTCGTTGAGGCAATGTAAGACATTTTCACTGTTTGCACTACAGCATTCATTAAATTTTTGGCTGCTTGGATCAGGGAGGTGACACTGTCCAACTGTAAGGAAAAAAAAAAAAGAAGTGAAAGTGATTCAAGAAGGTCATTGGGAACTGAAACTCATGTAATGTAGGTAATGCAGTGGAACCTGCAAGTTGACACTTTCACTCCAGAAATGAGTATGTATGCACCCATGTTTTATACCCACCTCTAATGACATCATTTGAGTGTGTACCTTTATGTGGCATGCATAGATCCATATTTTCTCTGCTAAAATGCTTTCCTAATATTAATTGAATTTCTCTGTTTTTCAGTGAAATGGATTCTATACAGTGTACATAACAAGAGACGTTCAGATGGTCACCTCTGTCTTTGCAATGAATCTCCCTATTTCCAGGGGTCATACTAGCTTTTTTTTTTTTTTAATATGAGATGAGCATATGCAAGGAAAGCCATATTATGTAATTGCATTCTGAGCATAAGGGCTGGAAAGTCTTCTGTAGGAGGTTTATAGCTCAAGGTAAATATCATGCATACATATGTCTGTACACATACATGTATATTCCCGAATGATTGCACCTCAAGAAGTCTCTTTTATAAACTGGCATAGGTAGGAAGGCATTTTCATCAAATAAAGTTGGATGTAAATTTTGCGTCTGGCATTTGGTAAGTGAGGCAAGTCTTGTAATACTTTTCATCATAGATATATCAGATATTAGATAAGGAAAAGACATGTATTAGTGTTAAACAATATATGCTGAGAACCTGGTGGAGGTACTGGCAAATTGATTGCTAGTGAATAGCATGTACTTTGTTTCTTAAGAAGAGCAAGAAAATGGCTTCATTATGAAAATGCACTTATGCCTCTTCTCACAGGATTCTTGTTGGAATCGATCTGGTTTTCTGGGTAGTTCATAAAAACAATCAAGGGTGATAGAAATTGGGGTGGTATTCTTAGACTCCTGCAAAAAGACTGTGGATCTAAGCCAAGTAGATTCATTTGTAGACAACTAGCACCTTTTCCTTTATTTGAGTTTGTCAGTTGTCATCCAGAGCCCCCTCATCCAGGAAGATGTGTCTCCCCTGTCACCTTTCTATGATGTGTGCTGTCAAGTTTGAAAGTCAATCACTGGCTCCATAGTTACTGAAATCCATCAGCAGTAGCCTGACCTAAGTAATCTGTCTTTACAGTTTCAGGAGTGTCGTGTACACACAGCATAAATGAGCAGATAATAGTAGTAAGCTGAGGTTCTGTGCCTGGGGCAGTGGTCTAGTTCAGTGCTTCCTAGGAACAAAATGTCAATAGGTCTGTTTTATGGCAAGCCTGGAATCTTGTAGAAGGTAACACCGAGAAATGTGTCATTTGAAAGGCGTTCATACTTAGCAACAAGTTATTTTTGTCTTTTAGTTGTTGAAGGCAGAAATGTAAAGTCTCTGCATGTGGCAGAAATGACAAATGTTTTGCAAACATAGAGCAGAACTTTAAGAGGCTCTCACTTTTTTTTTTTTCAGATGATATTCAGAACTTCTGAATGTGTGTACAACCTAAACAATGGTAGATTTTGAATAGATTAACCAATGTGTTCATTAGCATGATTCTGTAGGGTCTGCAAGATAAAATCGGTCTTTTAATCATTGGCTAGCTCATAGTAAAAACCTCTTTGAGTTGAGTGAGATTCTGAAAGTGGTTTTCAGTATCACCATGGGAAGAAGAAAGGTTTTCTAAGTGATGAAATCACATGAATAATATAGGTTATGCTTAGTGATTTTTTTCTTGGTTTACTGTGAATGTGTGCACTGTGCTGAAATAAAATCTTCTATAGAAAAAGGTCCAGGGACCTGCTGTTATTCAGGATTTTACCAGTGACTTGCCTTCCTACCCTCAAACTGGCATTGCCTTCACTCTGTCATTTGGTGATACAAACAGCATTTACTTCATGTCTTTGAATTTTTCCATATCTGTTGTATATGTAGATCAGTAGTGTCGGGAAGATATTTAGATGGAATCCATTCTTGAAAATGCAGAAAGTGGCTTACTGTTTTCCTCACTGAATCAGCCAAGTGCTGTTAGTGCCATTGTGATCTACTGTGGTAGCTTCTGACAAATCCTTTCATTTTAAAATCCTAAATGGCTATAGAACAGCTTTTCCTCCTGGTGCGTGAGAAAAAGCACAGGAGAAATTGTCCCTGTAGGAAATCATGACAACTGGTTTTACAGACAGATTAGGACAATTGTTGCAAGAATACTGTTATTTCGTGAAACAAGCTTCTAAGACACTGGATTAGGATCTCAAAGGTAGTTGGGGCTAAGATGCATAACTCTCTACAAGACAAATCACGAGCCTACCAATGGGAGGGAAGTTTGTGGAGGGCCAGGAACTGGCTCAGGCCTGTTTGTAGAGAATAACTGCATTGGTTCCTGCCTGTAAACACTCTTTAAAATTATTTGATCCAAGTCTAGTTTCATGAAAAATCTTTTAAGGGATAGATACACTAGATCCTTTATGGAAAAGATTTGATTTGAGTAGGGCACCCACATTGTGGTCTCTGTGTTCCACTTACTGAAGGAAAGCTTCTGAATTTCTGAAATGTATCTACGTAAGACCAAAATGTTAATGTACCCTCTGACTGGTAGAGTAAACCTGCAAGCCAACCCGAGTATAAAAAAAGTCTTGAGGTGCCAAAAATCTTGCCGTGACCTATCATTTTGATAAAGTACAATTTCCCCCAGGCAAAAATGTATTGGAATTATAATTTGAGAGGTTTGCCTGAAATGCTAATGCTCGTCGCTGATCAGGATCAGGTGTTCTTGATCAGGGTGTCATGGGAGATATAAATTGCTGCAGTGGTCCTTAAACCACTGAAGGTTGTAAGTTAATATTCTCATGAATAGTTGTAGAAGTGGTCCCCTCTCTGTTCCTTCCCATAAAAGAAAACACAAATTTCCAAAGAGAATTTGGATGTAAAAAAGGTGGTTTATGCTAGGTAGATCAGATGTCTGTGCCCTTTAGTAGGAAGATAGCCCTGCTTCCTATGCTAGTGACTATGCTTGTTCTGAAATCATTAGTAGGGTTTTAAATGAACATGTTGGTATATTACTGTCACAAGAGGTTACTCAATATGTTCTATGTTCAAACCAAAATGGATAAGTTCTATATTATGAGGTTCTTTATGAATAGAAAGAATGATATTTAGTAAGGTAGCTCTTATTTTAAGTCAGATTTGTAATCTGTCTATAATGTGCCCATTTAAGTATCATCCTACTTAATATTTTTATTCCACAGTGATATCAGTGTATGTTGGTATAAAGTCCTTCCTGTATGTGGTCATGTATAGTCTGCGACATTTCAGTGAATGTGCAGAATAAACTTAGTCATAAAATAATGTCAGGCAAAGGGTTGTGGTGCTTAGAGAAATGCTTATCAGTCTTTGCAAAAGAAAAGGAGTTTAGCAAGAGTACAGGTATTTTCCCTCAGAAAATGCCCATGTTTTCTGCAAGTGTATGTAGAAAATATTAGAATCTGTTTATAGAAGCCAACATGAAGTTACCAGTGATGTGAGTCCTTACACCACTACACCTCAGTGTCCACCTGGGGGAAGCACAGCTTCCCAGTGTTTGTGTTGCGGGCGATACTAATTGCTGGGACTACTGTGAATAGACAAGCCCAATGTACCTAGAAGTACCTATTATTTCTTGTCCTATATCCCCCAGGATAACGTGGCACCAAGTGTAGGTTGTGATTGTCTGTACTTTTGCCTGAAATTCAAGACCACTCGGATGGTGTAACACCTGCATAAAAGCAGGACTGGAGAGACAAATGGTGAAGTTTGGTTTGAAGCATAGCAAGAGGTTATAATAATTGGTATAGTGTATTATAGAATAGCACATTGGTGATATTCTAAGTAAGTGACAGAAAGTAGGTCACTGTAACCTGTGAGGTAAGTGCTACAAGTCTATTCTTCTTACAGACGTGGAAACAACGGAACTGGAAGTTTAATAGCTTGCTGAAGACATGATGTGTTAGTGCTGGCACTTTACATAGTCCTGATTCCTGTTACCCACTTCCAATGTGTGTTTCCTTGTAGATATTAAAATCAGGGAACTGGAATTGACAGTCACACTAAGCCACAAGTGTAAAAAGTGACTGCACCATCACTGGTTTGGGAAAAGTTATAGGAACTTTGTAATATGTATTGGTACTAAGAAAAATGAGGGCACTTTCATTGGATATGACAAGGCATTAGGATGAAGGTATTTATAATTACATTCATCAGTGTGCAAGTAGAATTTTTTAGAGCGGACCTAGAAATAGGAAGTCATTGTTACAGGCTCCCAAACAACGTAAGAAGATTTTCTAACAACTTTTTAACTTTTATAATGTGAATCTTAAGAAAATCAATAAGGCAAAGAAAGCAAAAGCATATCATATTATAACTGCTAGGATATAGAATTGCAGAGCACTTATTTCATCTTGAAGATGTGTCCTACTGTCAATAAAGAACAAGCTGTATTTTTTACACAAAAGAAGTCAAGCTAACTTGCCTTGATTTCAGAGAAGAAAGCATGATTTGGGCCATTTTCTCTTTTACCCTTCATTGTATAGAGAGGCTTTGGAAATAAATGTGACAGGGCATTAGGTATGTGTTATGATATATACCAAGTGGTAGCATATGTAACTATACCTGAAATATTTTCCTGTTTCCAACTAGTATTTACCATTTTCACCTCTCCATTGATTAAGCAGTGGTAGGTTATATGGAAAAACCAAACCAAACCAGACAAAACAAAACACAACACCTGCTTATATATTGTAAGCAAAATATAACAACTAATATATTATGTATATATGATGTAATGTAAGCCTCTTGAGACCCTATGTTTACTCCCATACTGGGAATCTCCTATTTCTATGAGCTCCAGAAGGGTACTGATGACAGGTGAATAGTGTAGGCTTCAGGAAGCCTGGTCTGGGACTTGCTAGATTGTGTTTTCACTGGGAAATAAAGTGAAAGGCTGCCAGACTCTACCGAAGCTTGGCCTGCGCTGTATGCCAGTGTCA